TGTGAGAGAGAGAGTGTGTGTGTGTGAGAGAGAGAGTGTGTGTGTGTGAGAGAGAGAGTGTGTGTGTGTGAGAGAGAGAGTGTGTGTGTGTGAGAGAGAGAGTGTGTGTGTGTGAGAGAGAGAGTGTGTGTGTGTGAGAGAGAGAGTGTGTGTGTGTGAGAGAGAGAGTGTGTGTGTGTGAGAGAGAGAGTGTGTGTGTGTGAGAGAGAGAGTGTGTGTGTGTGAGAGAGAGAGTGTGTGTGTGTGAGAGAGAGAGTGTGTGTGTGTGAGAGAGAGAGTGTGTGTGTGTGAGAGAGAGAGTGTGTGTGTGTGAGAGAGAGAGTGTGTGTGTGTGAGAGAGAGAGTGTGTGTGTGTGAGAGAGAGAGTGTGTGTGTGTGAGAGAGAGAGTGTGTGTGTGTGAGTGTATTATTAAAACAAGCCTTTGTCTTTGGAAAGCTTTTGTCTTCCAAAAAATCAATGTGATAAATGAGTTAGGTCACAAGTAATCAAAAAGTAGTCTAATTATATTTCCTAAAATGTGTAATGTAATGGATTACGTTACTAACTAAAATATTCATGCATATTCATATGTTTAAATATATTGTGAGTTCTAATGTAATTTATAATTTTGTATCATAATTTTGTAAAATATTCATATATATTCATATTTCTTAATATATTGTGAATTATAATGTAATTAATAATTTTTATCTTCATTTTGAAAAATATTCATGCGTATTCATATTTCAGTTTATATTGTGAGTTCTAATGCAATTAATCATTTTTTGAATCATCATTTTGAAAAAATGCAATTGAAACAAACAAAGAACATCCAGGTGATCTTCTATGATTCATTTCAATGTGAAAATATTTCAATTTCTTAACTAAGGTACAGTATTTAGTTCCGCGTCTTAAGAGTCAGTGCATCTGATCGCTGTGCTTTGTGCAGTCTTGTAGTTCGGGAAGCATGAGTCTGAATTCATGTTGGTGCTTTTGTTCTCGCAGGACTCTAATTTCACGAAGCACACAGACCTGCCGGATCTCCCAGCATGCTTTCAGCTGTCTGTCCTGCCATGGGCTCCCTGCATCTTCCTCTGGCTGACGTCTCCTTTCTACATCTTCTACCTCAAGAGGAACAACAGAGGCTACATCATGATGTCTATACTGAACAGAATCAAAACGGTGGGAGATGTCAAGCACTTGTGTATGTTCGGTTCTCTGTTATCTTGTTGTAATGATTCATTATATGTGTGTGTGTGTGTGTGTGCAGGTTCTCGGCTTGATCTTGTGGATCGTATGCTGGACAGACCTGTTTTCTTCATTTCATGAGATGAGCCAGAATCAGTTGAAACCCCCAGTATATTTCGTTACTCCTCTAGTACTTGGCATGACGATGGTGAGTGAGAACGGCAGCTGAATATGTCGGCTGTGTCAGATCTTAACATCAGTTGCAATGTACAAATCTCAAAACTTCCTCTCCAGTCTGAAAAGCCTTCACTGAACAATGTCTCGTTCTCATAACTTGCACGAATGTCTAACAGCAGATCAACACATCAACAGCATGAACACGGGGCACATGAATAGTTTTATGAATCTGAGCAGGTCAGGCGCTGTTGTTCACTTCTATAAAAGCACAGCGGTAAAAAACTGACTGCTTAATATATACTATACACACACACACATACACACACACACACATATATACAGATGTGTGTGTGAGTGAGTGTGTGTGTGTGTGTGTGAGTGTATTATTAAAACAAGCCTTTGTCTTTGGAAAGCTTTTGTCTTCCAAAAAATCTATGTGATAAATGAGTTAGGTCACAAGTAATCAAAAAGTAGTCTAATTATATTTCTTAAAATGTGTAATGTAATGGATTACGTTACTAACTACAGTTTTTGTCATGTAATTTGCAACAATTAAATAGCCTAATAAAATATATGATACTGTATGTCTCCATTTATAATGTGTGAACTATCTAAAAGTCAGATATTTATTCTCAGAACCACAGTGGATGAGCTCTGGCTGTCTTTGCTCTCTTCTAGTTGTTAGCCACGTTCCTGATCCAGTTTGAGAGGCTGAAAGGAGTGCAGTCATCCGGTGTGCTCTTCATATTTTGGACGATCTCAGTTTTGTGTGCCATCATGCCTTTCCGTTCCAAAATCATGAATGCCAGTCAGGCAGAGGTCAGTGTGTTGGTTTGAAGAAATGTTTTAGTATGAAGTAGTTAATTTCAGTCTAACCACGTACATGCTCTGCCAGCACAGTCATCTCTCAGTAATGTGTGACTCTCTCCCCTTTCTGCACTTTTCCCTCCTGTTTTATTTCTCACATGCACCTTTTGACATGTTGAGCGTTTTCTCGGCTCTGAAGGAGTTCAGTTAAGGCCATGACTGTTTAGAGAGAATAGAGCTGCTGTTGTTCCTAAAACCTGCTTCAAGACAGCTTCTCTAACTCACAGAGCAACAAACATAGCTCAAAGCTGCCGCTGGTTTTCCAAGTCAAATAAGTCTGATTCTCGCTCCTGGATAAGACAAATGCCATCTGATTTTGAATTTTGAAAAATCATTTTAATGCATTTGACAGACGCTTTTTTACAAAGTGAATTGCATTACATTTAATTATATTTATTCACTTCATGCATTCACTGGAAATTGAACCCATGAGATGCCATGCTCTCTACAGGAACGCTCAAATATTATGTATAAAAATGTATGGTAATATTAATATTGTTTCTGCATGTTGTGCATTATGCATTTTTCAGATATATTAATTTAACAGTGTAATATTGTTTGTGCATGTGTTGCATTTCCATTTTCAGATACGTTATTGATATTAATTTAGTTTGTGCATGTTGTGCATTATGCATTTTTCAGATATATTAATTTAATGATATTAATATTGTTTATGCATATTGGGCATTTACATTTTTTAAATATATTAATTTAATAATATCATCATTGTTTGTGCATGTTTGCATTTAATGTTTTAATGATATATTAATTTCTAAATATTAATATTATTTGTGCATGTTGTGCATTATGCATTTTTTCAGACTTATTTTAATACTTCTAGTATTGTTTGAGTGTTGTGCATTATATTGTTCAGATATATTTAAAAATAAAAAAAATGTCAAATTTTTTGTATGTTTTGGTTATAAAGATTAATTAGTTAATGGATGTCATTTTTCAGTGTTAAGCTGTATGTTTAATGAGGATGCACATCTAAAAGTGAGCTCTTTGTCAGTTGATTTCCTCAAACATGTAAACTTTCTGACCCTATTCCATCCTGACAAACAGCGTGACCGATGGCGTGGGTTTGGGGTGAATGTCTGACGTGAACAGGCTTAGTCTCACATAGTGAAATCAAATAAAAACTAGATATCTCAGATCTGTGAGCTCATAAAGAGCAGGGCTGGGGGCGTTTGTGATGTGGTGTGTAGAGATGTTGCGATTACTTGATAAAGCAGCTTTCTCTGTTTTCAGAATGACAAGCTGAGGTTCACGATGTTCTACATTTACTTCGGCCTCACCCTGCTTCAACTCATCCTGTCCTGCTTCAATGAAAAGCCTCCTCTCTTCTCCAGCGTGGTCACAGATCCTGTAAGTCTGCGTGTGTGTGTGTGTGTGTGTGTGTGTGTGTGTGTGTGTCTGTGTGTGTCTGTGTGTGTCTGTGTGTGTCTGTGTGTGTCTGTGTGTGTCTGTGTGTGTCTGTGTGTGTCTGTGTGTGTCTGTGTGTGTCTGTGTGTGTCTGTGTGTGTCTGTGTGTGTCTGTGTGTGTCTGTGTGTGTCTGTGTGTGTCTGTGTGTGTCTGTGTGTGTCTGTGTGTGTCTGTGTGTGTCTGTGTGTGTCTGTGTGTGTCTGTGTGTGTCTGTGTGTGTCTGTGTGTGTCTGTGTGTGTCTGTGTGTGTCTGTGTGTGTCTGTGTGTGTCTGTGTGTGTCTGTGTGTGTCTGTGTGTGTCTGTGTGTGTCTGTGTGTGTCTGTGTGTGTCTGTGTGTGTCTGTGTGTGTCTGTGTGTGTCTGTGTGTGTCTGTGTGTGTCTGTGTGTGTCTGTGTGTGTCTGTGTGTGTCTGTGTGTGTCTGTGTGTGTCTGTGTGTGTCTGTGTGTGTCTGTGTGTGTCTGTGTGTGTCTGTGTGTGTCTGTGTGTGTCTGTGTGTGTCTGTGTGTGTCTGTGTGTGTCTGTGTGTGTCTGTGTGTGTGTGTGTGTGTGAGTGAGTGTGTGAGTGTGAATGTGTGTGCGTGAGTGTGTGTGTGTGTGTGTGTGAGTGTGTGAATGTGAGTGAGTGTGAATGCGTGCGTGAGTGTGTGAGTGAGTGTGTGAGTGAGTGAGTGTGCGTGTACGTGTGTGCGCGTGAGTGTGCGTGTGTGCGCGTGAGTGAGTGAGTGTGTGTGTGCGTGAGTGTGTGAGTGAGTGTGTGAGTGTGAGTGTGTGAGTGTGCGTGCGTGAGTGTGTGTGCGCGTGAGTGTGTGCGTGTGTGTGTGTGTGTGTGTGTGCGAGTGTGTGCGAGTGTGTGAGTGAGTGTGAGCGTGTCTGCGTGTGTGCGTGTGTGTGTGTGTGTGAGTGTGTGTGTGGTGTGTGAGTGAGTGTGTGAGTGAGTGTGTGTGTGTGTGTGTGTGTGTGTGTGTTTTATCTACTCAAAGGCCGTGAAAATGACAAAATGCAATACAAGGACCAGCAGTAACCATCATGCTTTCATAATACAAGATTGAATAAAAGAATGATTTAGTGCCACAAACTGTGGATGATTGAATTCTTTGAACGTTAGAAAGGTCATGGAAAGGTCAGAGCAGCAAACTAAAGTGCCTGTGGTGTTTTCATTGGATTTTCAGAATGTATGTCCAGAAACGACTGCTGGATTCCTCTCCAAAATGACCTTTTGGTGGTTTACTCGGTGAGTAATGTAAAGAAGTACTAACAGTGGCTGTTTCTCGTCCTCACGACTTACACTAACACTAACCATTTGATTTATGTTCTCATAACGCTGAAAGAAAACGTTCTTAGATCAAAATTCTCAGAATGTCCTTATGATGTATTATTTGTACTTAAATGGTGTAAGAAACTTTTTGTAACCTTTAAATAAATTGTTGTAATCACAACAAGAAAATGTATACTTTTTTAGAAACATTTCAAACCAATGTTACGTTTATATTGCTTTGTGCCATCAGAAACAAATGTATGCCAAATGTTCCCAGTTACTAGATGTCTTATTGAATATTGGGGTTTAAATTAATGCACATATTTTCTCAAGCCACAGTGGAAGATTTAAAGGGATAGTTCACCAAAAAATGGACTTGCTCTCATACAGTATCTTTCCAAACCTCTGTCACCGTCGTCCTTCTCTGAGACATAAAAGAAGATATTTTTAGAGATTTAGAGATCAAAATATCTGCTTATTTGTGTTCTGTAGAGGACAGACAGTCATACAGGTTTGGAACGACATGAGGCTGAGTAAATGATAACTCAATGATCATTTTTGAGTGAACCGTCCCTTTAATTCAACATAAACAACAAAAATCAAAAGCACAATGCCAACATTAGTGTTGTTTCTGAGACAGATATGTGATTCTGTTCTACAGTATGGCGATCAAAGGCTATAAATCTCCTCTAGAGAATAAAGATCTGTGGTCGCTGAACAAGCATGACAGTTCAGAGCTGGTGGTTCCCAATCTGCTCAATGAATGGGAGGTGGAGAAATCCAAAGCGCAGAGGTATGAATTCAGACAGATTATGATTCAGTCATTCAGTCCAAGGATTGTACAATAACTGTCTGCCTAAGTCCAGTGCCTTGTTTACATTAATGTGAGTAACATGCTCCAGGTTTTTCTCTATTTCTTTCTTTCTTTATTTAGTCGAATAGGGCCCTATGAAATCTGTTTTTTTTTTCTGACGTCCTTTGTTTTTTGTTTTAGTGGTTAAATTAAATTTTATTTTTGACATTTTAATAAAAAAAAAAAAAAAAAAAAAAAAAAATATATATATATATATATATATATATATATCTTATAAAATATATTACATTTACATTTTTCTGGACTAATTTAGCAGCTTTAACAAAATTTTAATCATCAAAAAGCACATCTAATTAATTTAAATAATGAAACTTATATAATTTAACATCTGTTTATTAAAGGTTTAACAAAAAATGCATTTTTAGGCCACTATAATTTTTTTAATTTTATTTAGCAAATTCTGTGTTTTCTGTTTTAATTTTTCGGGATTCCATTTGAATGGTGTCATTAAATTGTACTAACCAAACAGCATGCATAATTAATTGAATTCATAAAAACAACTTTATTTAATACAGTTTTTACCATAATAGGGCCCTATGAAATCTTGTATTTATTTTTCAGTGAAATTTTGTGTTGTGTATTCTTTAAATGTTCACAGGACTGTGATGAGCTTCTGTTCTTATTATTGATAGCTTGTAATACAGTCATTCATGATGAATATATTTAACGGTATAGTTGTTACTAAGCAGTTGCTAGGGTGATATGCGTGGTTGTTAGGGTACTTTGCATGAGCAAGCACAAGCCATGTAAAAAATGTTTATCTTTGCAGTTGTTTTTGGTGCAGAATGACACATGTGAGTCCAGGTTCAGCTTTGCTCTCAGAAGCGTTTTTTTTCTTTCTTCCCCAAACCTAATGCATTTACATTCATGCATTTGACAGATACTTTCACTGCATTCAGCTGCACATATATTCATTTCATGCACTGACTGGGAATCGACCTTGACATTGCTGCTGCTACTAGAAGAGCCGCTCTTGTTTTTCTGTGCAGCGAGCAGAGCGTGAAGGAGCAGGCCGCGTTCAGGAAGGCAGGCCCGGGTGCTGAACCCAACCACGTGAGCGTCAGTCCGGAGGAGGAGGAGGTTCTGCTGTCCAAACGGAAGGAGGCGCGGCAGCCCTCGTTCCTGAGGGCCCTTCTCAGGGCCTTCGGACCCTACTTCCTCATCGGCTCGGCTTTCAAACTACTGCAGGATCTCATTACCTTCGTGAACCCTCAGCTGCTCAGGTGAAGTCACCGCTGCTTCATTCCCAGCCAAAGAGGAACTCTAGAGTCATAATTAGTTATGGTTTTATGATGGGAAGGTAGTGATATCATACGAGACTTGATAAAGCTGCCAGTAAGTGAGGTTTAGTCACTCTTCTGTACTGGTTATTTACAGCAGATGTTCACAGGGCTGTGATGAGCTTCTGTTTTCATTAAAGCCATAATTAAAATATTAAAGGGATTGATTTAGTCAGTCTGTATGAACAGCTGTAATTGTTTGCAGTCTGATAACGAACAACACAATAGCTGCTCTGTTCCTTTAACCTGGACCTGGGTTTTATTACCCGCGGGGGTTTATTTCGTTTGCTTGTAACAGGAAGAGCAAACATGAAATGCGCTGATTAGCTGGAAAGCGGTGTAAAAATGATCTTTTATAGCACTGTTTTGCGTAGAACCCTGCAGAATCGTTTGCATGATGTTTTGTATGCTTTTCACACTCTGTGCTCATGCTTTACAATGCAAACAGAATGCAAATATGCTTCTCTATAGACATTTTTACCGTTTTGAATCACAAGTCAAAAGTTTGAAATAATTAAGATTGTTTAATGTTTTTGAAACAAGTCTCTTCTGCTCAGCAAGGCTGCATTTGTTTGGCAGAAAATATAGTAAACATTCTGAAATATTACTCTAATGTAAAACAGCTGTGTTCTATATGAATATGTGTTAAACTGTAATGTATTTCTGTGATGCGCAGCTGTATTTTCAGCATCATTCCTCCAGTCTTCAGTGTCACATGATCTTCAGAAATCAGTGTAATATGCTGATTATTAGAAACATTTCTGATTATTATCAATGTTGAAAACAGTCGTGCTGCACAATATTTCTGTGGAAACTGTGATGCATTTTATTTTTCAGGATTCACAGATGCACAGAAAGTTCAGAAGAACAGCATTTATCTGAAACAGAAATCCTTTGTTACATTGTAAATGTCTTTACTGTCACTTTTGATCAATTTAACATGGGAAAAAATCATTTATTCTTATTTTTCTTTATTTGTTTTGACAAAAATTTTAATATTGATAATAATAATCTTGTTTCTTGAGCAGCAGATCAGCATATTATACTGATTTCTGAAGATCATGTGACACTGAAGACTGGAGTAATGATGCTGAAAATACAGCTGCGCATCACAGAAATACATTACAGTTTAACAGAGATTCACTTAGAACATTTTTTACTGTATTTTTGATCAAAGAAATGCAGCCTTGCTGAGCAGAAGAGACGTATTTCAGCAACAGAACACAAATCGTGCTCATGCACAGAGGTGTGGTTTTAAAGGGATTCTGCTCTCGTTGTCAGGATGTTGATTGCCTTCACCAAGCAGCCGCAGGCCCCGTCGTGGTGGGGTTACTCGCTGGCGTTCCTGATGTTCAGCGCTTCCCTCTTACAGACCCTCATCTTACATCAGCACTTTCAGTACTGCTTTGTCACGGGCATGAGGCTGCGCTCAGGAATCGTCGGAGCCATTTACAGGAAGGTACAGGCTGGTCACGAGTCTCTCTGCACAGAAAGACTCACTCAGACCAGCACAAATCCATGTTCTGTCAAGACTGGTTTATGCTGGTTAATGGTGACCGAACACCACTTACTTTACTTGCAAACCTTTCTTTTTGTCTTTTTTGGACCATAAAAGAAGATATTTTGAATCTTTTTTGGCCACAGTGGGCTCCTCATTCTTCAAACTACCTTCTTTTGTGTTGCACAGAAGAAAGAAATGCATAATGCGTATAAATAATGCGCACCGTTTTGGGGGAACCATATTTTTTTAAGCATGTTATGGGGTAAATAATGAGAAGAGAGTTCACGGATTATAAATTAATAAATAAAAATTAATAAAAACTACAGAGACATATTTTGAAAATAAATCACATGACAAAAGCGCACCAACATTACTAAAGCTTTACCTCAAATTAAAGTGAAAATAGTGAAATAGTTAAAGGGAAAGTTCAAAATATTAAGAACGACTACAATAGTATATCATTCTTTCAAAACGTCTTTTGAGTTAAGCAGAGGAAAGAAATGCATAGTACACGCAAATATTGCATACAGGGTTGGAACCTATGGAAGCTTTTTTCCACCACAGGATAAAAAATAAAATAGAATAAAGAAATTATAAAGCTAATTGTGTCTTTTTATCTCACAATTCAGAGTTTTCCCCTTGCATTTCAGAAATATATATAAACGCAGAATTGCAAGAAAAAAAATCTGAATTGTGAGATAAAAGTAGAATTAGCAGTTTTATTTTTTTATTAAATGGTGGAAAAAAATTGAATTGACAGATATAAACTCAGAATGGCAGGAAAAAAGTCAAAAATCTGAGCCTTTTTTATTTACCTTTGTTTATTTTTTTTATTCTGCGGCACATGAGTAAATGATGACTACATTTTATTTTATTTTTTGGTTGAACCATATTTTCTAAAGCAAGTTAAGGGGTTAAATAATGAGGAATCACTTTTTTTTAAGTTTATTGCACTAGAAACTGAAATGACCTTTCCATGCTCTAGTATTACAGGTTTGACTGTTTATTATTATTATAAATGTAGTTTAGTTCATACGGTATGTCAGAGAAACTGCATTCAGCTTCAAGGAAAACTCTAAACTCTTATACTCAAGCTTATATCAACAGATAGTTGCACTTGAACGTGTTATTCCTGTTATGACTACATATCTGTGACCATCCGAGTTACTTTTACAATATAAATATTAAATCTTCTTGCACGTGTTGTGAGAAAGATGTTGTGAGTATTGCGAAAGACCTCTCATTTAGAGTGTCGACCGATTATCGGCACTGATATTAAGCTTTTTTTTATGGTTATCGGCATTTTCAAAACCGATATGCTGATCAAATAATTTAACAGAATTTAAAAATAAAGTTTTTGTCAGAGCCTTTGTTTTTCTTAACTTTGGCATTAATATTCATTTTTACAGCAGACATATATATATCGGTTCAAAATATCGGTTAATTGATC